AGTTGAATTTGAACGACTTTTTTTGTTTTGCAAACAATTAATGGACATACTGTATAAACCTTTTTGGTTTTCGACGCCCATTGTGGGTATAGTTATATCCTCCATAGCTTGGTCAACCCGATTATATATACCAAATTTCAGAGTATAGCAGAAATCGAAAAATCAGTATAATTTAATTTTCGATTCGCCACGCGTAGTGGGTGTGGACGTAGTATTTATAGTTTTATTTAATAGAATTAACTCGCGTGAAATGGGTGTAGATCTCGGGTGGTGTACTTCCAAATTTTAACTTTCTAGCTCTTCATATAATATGATTTCTGGCATATCGGAAAATTAGTTTTCCCACTTGAAACGTGTTTAAATTGGGGTTCTGAAGTCTCTACGAACAGACAGATGGTCGGACAGCAAGACGGATATTACACAAAACTAATATACTCATATCACTTTCGTAAATAATTATAAAAACTAACATAAATAGATAAAATTTGTATTATGTACATATGTAGATTATGTATGTATTTACTTGCAGCTATCGTACCATGGGCTACGACTTTGACTCAGCAAGAAAGCGGCTCGAAAAAAGTATAACGAAAGAAATACAACAAAATTCTTCTAACGACACCGGAAAATTGGAAAAATTCCAACAAATTTATAAAACGGAAACAGCAAGAGCAGTCGATAATAATTTAAAGGCATCAGTACAAGTGCTTTTAACGGAACACGTAGTGCATGAGAACCAAGTCACGTTGGCAGGACGCAAATCAATTTTTACAATCAATATTCAGACGCCACCAAGCTCTTTGCAAATAAATTGCTCGAACTGCTACAGCCGTAACCAAAAACTTAAAAAAAATGACCAGGAGAATAATCGATGGTGTCGCTGGAATCAGAAGTATATGTCCAGGGGATGTAGCAGCAATACTGGAAAATCTACCAGTTGCGCTGGAGAATCGTCACTGGCTGGAATACCTACATGCCATATTCAAACTAACATAACAAATGCTACAGGTACCGACAAGCAAAAGTTACGGCACCAAGAGATGAAAGTATACAATATGTGTATGGAGAGATCATTCGCCTATCTAACGTTATGCATAAGCAATATCGCCAGGGGTACTGTCCCCGTAACTATGTCAGCCGCAATTCTTACGAGTCTAAGCACCACTTTAGCAGTCGGATTTCAGTATCTGGCACAGCATTACAAACAATATAGCACATCGTTTAGCTTTTATGCAGCTTCCAGTATTATATTGATGCTGTGCTATCTGACGACCCCATCCACGGCTGCTACTACACAATCGGACACGGTTGCCATTGATAAGCATCCAATGTAAGTAATTTACGCAAACGCGCAGGTAACTATTTATTACTTATTCATTAAATGTATATTATTCACCTATCATTTTACTCTAAAATTTATATTTCTCTTCTAAAATTCTTTCATTCACAGCATCGATTGGTCAAAGTAAGTTTACACTTAGGCAATTAGTAATTAATAGGAAAATTACGAGGGAATGGAAGATAAACCAAAAAGCATTAATAATTAATTTTGTATTTAAGGTTTTATTAATTATTGTTCATTTTTTATGACAATACTTTTTTTTTATATTATTATTATTGGGCTGACATCATTTTGATATGCGCCAACCCTTATTTCGTTAAACCTTAATTTTGATTTTTTGAAAAAAATTAACTTTGAGATCTATGTACGTCTGATCTGTAAAGCTAAGATATGTACATAAGTACGCCATTCGTAAAATATCCATTTTATCCATATCCATTCCAAAATAGCATGAATGTAGATAATTCAGTCATCCTTATGCTTTAATCTCTGAACACAAAATAATTTTAATTTAACTTATTATTTGATAATAAAGGTGCTTAAAATTCGAATCGCATGTACTTTCATAAAAACGTGTGCATTTTAATCTAAACCTAAAATTTATCTAAATATATGTATATACGATATTGTTAATAATATAATATTAACTATAATCAATTTAAATACATATTTAAAGTGTTAAAATATACTAACAACGCAATGAAAAGTATGAATACTAATGAATACTATGAATATTTTATTCTTTATATGCAGATTTGACGAGTCCAGTTCAGATAAAGAGATTTTAGATTTATTACTTGAAAAGAAACGATATGATAAACGATTACTGCCACCTGTCAATGGTAAGAAAATTTTCAAATATTTCAATTGAAAATCAACCGCACACTTTCAATGTATTATATGTATGTATACGGTTTCTCTCGCAGAGTTTCTATTGTAAACATCAACTGTACAAGTTGTGGTCGCAACCACTAACCTAGAACACATAGAACACGTTTTTTTCAGCTTAAGCACCCCAGACAACTTCGCATTCGCTCGGCTCCTTACTTTTAGGTTCAAGCTACGAAAATATACGAAAGCACAAACATTGCGCTTCATGCGCTCGACTGAGATGGTCGAGTGTTGAGCAAAAGATTCCCCTATGCTCAATGTTTCCCTTGCTCTCTCTCTCTGTCTCGATGCTCTCTCAAATGTGTATATGTATGTATGTATGCATATGAAAACAAGTGCGACGAGCGTACACACGCATACTAAATAATTTTCAATTTTCGTGAGCTGCGGCTTGTACTCACATGCATACATACATACATATATACATTTGAGAGAAAGCAAGGGAAACATTGAGTATAGAAGGATCTTTTGCTCAACAGTCGACCATCTCGGTCGAGCGCATGAAGCGAAATGTTAGTGCTTTCGTATATTTTTGTAACCCGAACCTAAAAGTGAGGAGCCGAGAGAATACGAAGTTGTCTGGGGGGCTTCAGCTCGAAAAAAGCATGCAAAAAGCTTTATACTACTTGTTCAGTCTATGTGTTCTATGGTTAGTGGTGCGATGTACCTAGCGAATCAAAAGGCTGCCAAATGCTTACTGTGCAATATGTGGTGCTCAAAAGGTGTGTCTGTGGTGCGAGAGGTGTCATTTCTTATACTTATAACGAAAGTGAAATGAGTATATTGGTTTTTAGCAGTGTCCACACAATTTGTGAAGCATATTAATTAAAAAGCTCGACCGCTGAATTTAAAATGTTGATTTGCGTTGACACAAGAAAATTAAAGCCATGGCGGTTATATCTAAGCCCGTTGGAGGAATGCTAAATCGTTTGAAACTGTGTCTTCCACAAAAATAACATTAAAGCTATTAATGGCTCGTTTTAAGAACTGGCAAATCGGTAAAAGCTGAATTTATCTAAGTTTTCGCTGATAGAAACCGCTCTTGATTTTCACGGAGCGGTTTCTATCAGCGAAAACTTAGATAAATTCAGCTACGAGTAGGATAGTAGATCTTAAAACTACAGAAAAAATTTGACGAATACTTGAAAAACACGGTTTTTTCCCTAGATTCAAATTTTCTTTGATACTCAGTAGGCTGGATAACAGTGACAGTTTTCGGTCCTGCTCTCATATTATACAATAGTATAGAAGTAAATAAACAAA